GTTTCTTAACCCTGGCTCCACATTACAAAGAATTAACCTAGGGAGCTTTAAAAATACATACAAATAACCAAGCCCCACCCTAGGCCTTACACCAGATCTTTGAAGGTGGGATCCAGGTGACTGATTTTTTCAAATGAGCAGCCAGTGTTGAGAAACATGGAGATACAAGAAAAGCTAAAAACACAGCTGGAATATTTAAGGATGGTGCTCCTAAAGGACTGGGAAAAGGCAAGTTAGAGACCAGCTTAGGGAGAAGGGAGCCCAAGTTTGGGAGGACCCCTGAATGGTAGGTAGAGCCCTATGGGAAGAAAAGCAATAAGGAAGGATAAGTTTGTAAAAAGAACTATAGTCTAGCTCTGGAGACACCACCGCACAATTTAAGGAGGATATACAGGGAACAGACCTGCTTGCAAACCAATGAGGCCCAAGTATGGGGCAGAGGCCATAAGGCCAATTCTGGGGACAAAGGGTCTGGTGTGGAGAACTAAATGAGCTTCAGCCTCATTTCGGAAAGGACAGCAACAAGTCTGGGGGGTAAAATGAGGAAGACAATGAGACCCAAATTGTAAATAGAAGACATTCTGATGTATAAAAAAACAACAAGGGTTAAAAATTGTGGGGAAACAGGATTATGGAGCAGTTTCAAAGAGTGTGGGGGCAGAAATACAGAGTATATTTGAAGAAGAGATGGATGACAACAAGGGCTGCCTTGGGAAAAAGAGAAGTAGAGAGAGGAAAGCTGAGTGATAAATTCTGCCTAGCTTGGGCAGGGGCAAGTATGTATGAGGCAAGTTCAGAAAACCACTGGTGCTGTTTCAGAAGGACGTGCAGCCTTTCTCTCCAATTAATGGGAGAAGACTGGGATCAGATTTTGAGGGAAGAAACTTGCAAAGGCCCAGTATCCAGACTATGGGGCCTGATTTGCAGGCATTGGAGGTACAGAGAAAGAAAGGAGGCCTTCAATAGAAACAGGGTGGGCTGAGTTCTGTGATCTAATGATGGGATTCAATTAAGGGAAGAATAAGAGTAAAATGAGTTCCAGCTGAGATCAAGTGTTTAGAGGATAGGAGAGTTTAGAAGAGTGTTGGGGGAACCCCACTAGGGGAAAAGGACGGCAAATACAAGTCCAAAGTGTTTGAAAAATAAAAGGAAGAAGGTTGGGAGCCAGGGATAAACGAGCTAACTGGGAAAGGGGTGTCCAGGGAGGAAGAATGGGAAAAGATAAAGCAGGAGTTAAGGGACCAGAGGGACAGTGGGGCATCACTGTAAAAACTATTAGGCCTGAGAAAAGCGGGGGAGGGGAAGGGGTAATGAGTCCAGTTGAGAGCTGAAGGTTGGAGCCTAACTGGGGGAGGGGCGGCAGTGATAAGACAGGGGTTTGGAGGATGCAGTTTCAAGGAAAGAGAGTCAAAGCCAAGGGTTAAGTAACTAAAGAGGGAGGAAGATAGATTTGGGGAAATGGGAAACAATTTGGGGAATGTGGATGAGGGAGAAAGCCCAGTTTGGGGAATGGGCCACCGTCCGACAGGACTTAAAGGAAATGGGGACTGGATTCGAAGGTTGAGTCCTGGTTTGCGTGGGGGTTGGGGGTGGGGGCTTTGCGGGAGAAGGAGGCCCGGATGAGGGGGATGGGCCAGGCTGGAGGGAAGGGGCTAAAGGGCGGAAGGAGGCCCCGTTGCGGGTTTGGGGCTTGGACTGGGGTGGCTGAAGTAGGGAAAGGACCCAGTGGGGGAGGTGGGCAGGACCCCGCTGTGGGAGCGGGAACCGGCCGGGGATGGGGGGAGGCCCTCTGAGGCAGATGCGGGGAGGATGGGGGCGGGGAGCCTGGGCCGGGCCGTTACCTGTCCTGGGTGTTTATCATCCTCGGCGACTCTGCTCAGGGTGAGAGGAGGCGGCGCAGGGTATGGGTAGGTGGATGAGAGGGTGGGTGTGGGGTCGCGCGCGCGGGGCCGATCTCTGCGGGCTAAGTCCCTGTCAGGCCGCGGGCCCAGAGCCCTCCTCCTGCCTCAGCGAGCGCCTGCCTCCAACTGACCCTCCCCGGCCGCCGCCGACGCCGCCGCAACCGCCCCGCCCCCGGTGCCTCATCTGCATAGCCCCACCCCAGCGCCGCACGGTGTCCTGGGAAACTGGGGCTCACAACAAAGGGCAAAGCCCGGCCCCGCCTCCGCGCATGCGCACCAGGGCGTGAGGGGGGATCTGGCTGCGGACCCTCCTCTGCGGGCGGCTATGGCCGTGGCGGTGGCCTTGAGTTGCGCAGCAGGAAGGGTGCGTCGTATTTCAAGTAGAGTTTTCTGAGCATTGGCCCGACCTAGTCCTCGTCCCTAGGCCTTGTTTGCATGGGGCCGAGCAGAGGTGTGTCGTTTGTAGGCCCTAGGAGGATATTTTATTATACAAAACAAAATCAGAAATCTAAGAGTAGTACACATATATTTGCGCCATTCCCAGACTAAGCCCAGGTTCAAAGATCTCAGTTACCTCAGCTCACAATGCAGATCAATAATCTCAGCTGCCAGTTGAGATCAACAATCTCTGCATCTGAAAGACACCTCAGGTCAATGGTTAAGGTCTAACAGTGACTGGTGGTCACCTGAAGCCAAATCTCTGTGGGTCAGGATCACAGTCACCTGACAGCAGTGATGGAAGACACTATCACTAACTCGTTCACTTGAGATCACAATCATGCAAGGTTCACAGTCACCTCCATTCACTATCCCTGCTGGTCCTTATCACAGGTCGGTGACAACAGGTCACAAACACTGGGTCATAGACCCCTCAGATGACAGTCACTGCAGGCCACAGACACAAGTACTTCAACACAATCTGTTCATAGTCAATCCAGACTCTGGAGGTCACAAGAGAGGTCACATTATCTTAGGTCATGGTGGGGTGATACTACCTCAAAGCCCCTTCATTGATTTATTCAACAAATAATTATTGAGCAGCTACTTACTATGTGCTCCAGGCATGTGCTAGAGTCCAGCGCTACTCAATGGTCAATTAGGCAAAGTTCTTGCCTCACATGTCACAATCTAGTCAGAAAGAGAGACGCAGGCCATCAAAATATGAAGTAAGTAAGTGCTCGATCTGAGACCACAGAGAAAATATGGAATTATGGATGGCTTCACCAAAAGGGTTGTCAAAATCACTCCAAATCAGAGTTCACTATAGTCCCAAATCACAAATGTCCCACATTAGAATCATCTCAGGACACTGCTACTTTCCTTCACAAACGCCATGTTTTCGGTTCTTAGATGATGGGGATACAGGGATGGAAGAAAGGTTGGAGCTACCAAACAAAGGTTTTTCCAGCAAAAATCAAAGCAGTAAATGATACTAGAACTTCCCAGATTATGACTACAGTCTCCCACAATCTGGTTCACTTTAGATCCTCTTCCTTGTCCCCTCAGCTATCCCTACCACCACTTCCAAGTTCAGGTGTGGAATATTCTTATGTCAGTATATAGCAGAACTGAACAATTAAATCCAGCCCTGATCTATTCCATCTTGTGGTCCCAGAGACCTGGAACTCAAAGGGAAATGGGATGTCTCATTTCTGCCAGCACATCCCTGAACAAGTAACATTTTGGCCTGAAGGATAGTTTTTGACCAATCAGCAAATATTGAGAACTCACTACATCAATAATAGGGACTATTTATTGAACATCACGCTAAGGCACTAATTTTTACAATAGCTCCCCACTCCCATTCTACAGATGAAAAGAAACCTCAGGGAGATTTTGCCAACTAATATTTATTGAAGGCCTATACATACCAAGCAAGTTAATTTATTTGCTAATTCAAAGCCAGTGAGTGGTGGAGATAGAATTTGGACCCCAAATGGCCTGATTCTGTGCTTTCTCTGGATTCATATGATAGAGGAATGAGAAGGTCTCTGCACACCTTGCTATTTGGGGGAATGATCATCCTGATGGCCACCTGGCCAGCAAGTGAAAACGTCACAAAAATGGGAAGCCACCTTCCTCTAACCTGTGCTGTCCAATATGATAGCCACTAGCCACATGTGGCTATTTAAACTTAAATTAATTAAAATGAAGTAAAGCTATGAGGTGCTCCGACTCTTGATTTTGGCTCAGGTCATGATCTTATGGCTCGTGGGATCAAGCCCCACACCAGGCTCTGTGCTGACCGTACGGTGCTCTCCCCGTCTCTCTGTCCCTTCCCCCCCAAAAAGAAATAAACTTAAAAAAAAAAAAATGAAGTAAAGCTAAACATTCAACCTCTCAGTCCCACTGACTACAGTTCATGTGTTTAATATTCATGTGTGGCTAGTAGTTACAGTGCAGATTTTCCATCAACACCAAAAGTTCTGGACAGCACTGTGTCCCATCATTCCCCTATCCCTATTTATTTCAGTCATCACCACAGGTTCAAGCTCCCTCATCTGTTATCACCTCCATCCTTGTCCTCCCACTGGCAATAAGTTCCCTGCTCCCTGCCCTCAGGCACATCCTTTCTCTGTGCCCTCTGCAACCTGTAATCAGCAATTTCTCCATATCTTCAGCCTTTTCTCAGAATGTTGTCTTCACCTCCTTGACTTACCTAAAATTTTGTTAGCCCTGATTTGTACACTGATTCTTTAGCAGCACTCTTAAGTGAATGTTATTTTCTTCTCATTCTCCTGTACCTCAGGTCAGGAAGTGGTAAGTGTATTCCTCTCCCAACCTGAATGCCATTTCTAAGCCAGTGCTCCCCCAACCCCTCCTACAAAAACCCTGTTCCTTTGAAGCTTCACTGTCTGGGCATACCATCTTGGTTAATGTCCTCAATCAACCTCCAGGTCTCTTACTGCCCATCATTTAACTCTTGGCTCATTGCCTCTCTCTCCACCCTAAATTTTGTTATATTGAGTGAGCTCCACATCCATGTGATGGCCTCTCCATCACTTCCTTGACCACCTCATCTCCAGAGATATTTTCCACACTCCACAGCAGCTGGACCACTTCTGTAGTCACACCCTCAACTTTGTGTTCACCAAAAGCCATTCCACTTCCAATATGGAGACTTTCCAACTACAACCTTTTCCTTAATTAAATCTCCCTTAATAATTCTTTGACCTTCATCATGAGTTCTGTTCCCTTGACTTCACTAATGTCTCACTACTCATGAGATTCACTTTTATATTCCTTCTTTCTTACCTTCATTTTCATCATCCATTACTATAATCACTCTCTTGCTCTGTCTCCTCCAATTGTGTTGGCTTCTTTGTCTCCCTCTATCTCCCCGTCCGCCACTCACACTCTGTCTCTCTCTCTCAAACAAACATTAAAACAAAATCAATACCTCAAAGTAACCAATCAGGTAATAAGAGAAAAAGGAATAATAGAACATCACCATTTTGTAAACCCTCAATGAGATCAAGATCATCAATAGCTTTAATGTTACAAAGGAGAGACACTTGAAGGTTATGTGCCTCCTGATGAAAAGACACAGCACCACCTATGGAGTATTCTTGATGAAAACCTGAACCTGAATCAAAGCAAGCCTTTATATCTAACAACCGTTTACAGAAAATGAAAGGAGATAGAGGAAATGGTTAAATGTCACCATAGGAATGCAATCAGCAAAATCCTGAATAGGAAATTTCTGAAGGACAAAAATCTCTATTTCTTCACCAAAAAGGGGGTGATAAAGAAGTGGAGAGGGAAGATCTGTAGATTATAATAGATTTAAGAGAGTTGTCCATCAAGTGTAACATTAGCTCTTTGAGGATGGTGCCATATAGGCCATATGACATGATATATGACAACCACATGACAACCTGACATCACTATTAAGTGATGATATCACTATTAACCTCACATGCCCACACCCTTGATTCCACCTGCCCCCTCAAACCTTGTCTCTCCCCAGGCTTGCCTATGTTTCCCATCTTCACAAATGGCCCCACCACCATCTGGTTGCTCAGGTAGCTACCTAGTTGTTGTTACAATTCCTCTCTTTCCTTCACCCCTCCCCTCTTGTATCCAACACATCATAACTAGTCCTGTCATTTCTGTCTCAGAAGGGGTATATTTCTTTTCCATCTCTTCCACCCTGATCCAACCCACCACCATCAGTTGCTCAGATCACTGCAGCCTCCAAATGACCTCCTGTCTCCTTTCTTGCCCTCTTCCAGCCCACTCCTTCCACTGCAGCCAGGATGATTAATGTTTTAAGTATTTTAAAAATATGGGTAGGTGGCGGGGGGATTGGATGAGGGTGGTCAAAAAGTGCCAACTTCCAGTTATAAATAAGAACTAGGGGTAGAACATACAACATGATGGCTCTAGTCAACACTGCTATGTGATGTATAGGGAGGTTGTTAGGTGGATAGATCTGAAGAGTTCTCATCACAAGGAGAAGAAAAAACATATACTAATTTGTTATTGTTTTGGGTGTTTTTTTTTTTTTTTTTTTTTTGTCTGTGGTTTTTTAAAATATCTCTGTGAGGGGCGCCTGGGTGGCTTGGTCGGTTGGGCGGCCGACTTCGGCTCAGGTCATGATCTCGTGGTCCGTGAGTTCGAGCCCCGCGTCGGGCTCTGAGCTGACAGCTCAGAGCCTGGAGCCTGTTTCGGATTCTGTGCCTCCCTCTCCCTCTGCCCCTCCCCTGTTCATGCTCTGTCTCTCTCTGTCTCAAAGATAAATAAACGTAAAAAATAAATAAATAAAATAAAATAAAATATCTCTGTGAGATGATGGGTGTTAACTACATTTACTGTGATAACCATTTCACAATGTATGTAAGACACATCACTATGCTGTACACCTTAAACTCATACAGTGCTGTATGTCACTTACATCTCAATAAACCCAGAAAACAAAACAAACAAAAAAGAAATCATGTTGAACTCAAACACAGGGTACCTACCATGTTCCAGAAATGAGCTGTTCATGCTCAGAAAAAAATAAACTAGCTATTTATCTCAAAAAATAGATAGATAGATAGATAGATAGATAGATAGATAGATAGATAGACAGACAATAAAAATCAGAATATAGATCATGTCGTACTTTAAACCCTCCAGTGGCTTCCTAACTCGTAATAAAATAAAATCTAAATTCCTCACCTCTCCTTCATATAAGACTGTTGGACCTGAGCCTCCTGCATATTCTGATGCTTCCTGCATCCCTCTCCTTCCTGGAGTGACTCTGGCTCCTTTTCAGGGTCTCAAACATGACAAGCTCAGGGCACTTATTCCCACTATTCTCCTGGCCCAGATCTCTCTTTCCCCAGATCTTCATAAGGCTGGCTTCCCATCCTTGAGATCTCAACTAAAATGCTACCTCCTCAGAGAGCCCTTGGGAACATCACTAAACCCTGGGCATTCCCTTCACATCAACTGTCACATCTGCTGTCATTAGTCAGTTGTTGCCTTGTTCACAGTCTCTTACGCCCTTTAGACTGGAAGCTCTTCAAGGGTGAGATGCAAAAAAAGCCTGGGCTGTAGTAGACGCTCAAGTGTAGACACTTTTTTTATTTTGATAACATTCGGTGACTATTTTGTGCAGGCAGACTTGCGGCATCGTTGGAGAGACGTGATTTACACGTACGAAACAAACTAGAAGCAAGCGCAGATGCCAAGATTAGTGCAAAAGAGGGTTGCTCAGCCCCTCAGTGCAGGAGTTTAGAAGAATAAGCATCAGCTTCTTTGCTAAGAACAAAAGACAATTCAAGTATCACTTTTTCAAGGTGAAAATAGAGCCTGAGGTACTAAAAAAGTAGACAAAAATAGAGGTTCCAAAAGGCCCAAGCAAGAAGATTAGGACATCAAGTGACTGATGTTTTTTCTTCTGTTCCTCTCAGGGCTATGCCAACACTGCCTTTGGAAATCGTAGAAGGTTTACAGAAAGACATTGCCCAGGAGTCAGAAAACCTGAGAGTCCCAGTTTTCTCCCTTTTACTGGTTGTTGCTCTTGGGCAATGCACACGCGCTCTTTGTGCCTGAGCTTCTCACCTACGATCTGGGAGTTTGGGAGTGGGCTTTTGAGCACTCTTCCCTGCTCTCAAGACTTTAGGCTCCCAAGTGGCCCCTTGCATATGGCAGAGCTACACAGGGACAGAAATCGCTGAAGGAGGGAAGCCAAATGTCAGGGGAAGGAGACTGGGATTCAGGACTCATCTCATCCATCAGGAGAAAGGGCCTGAGGATTGGCCTGTTGTCATCTATCCGGTGAGCTCCCCTCACAAACTCTAACTTCTAACCTACTCCCTACTCCCTGAGACAGGATCTGGGGAAGAAGGGCAAGCCTGGCTTTTAGAGGTGGCAAAGATTACTGAGGAATCCTGCCCCTTGGCTCCCAGGGCAGGAAGTGCCAGGCAGAAGGCAAGGCAGGGGAAAGCACTAGAACCGAGAATGAGCAAAGAGCAGTACTGCCTGGGGCATGGGGTTCCAGACCCAAGGAGAACATTATTTGAGACCAATAAGGAAAGAGAAAAGTAGTGGTTCCCACCGACTTCCCAGACCAAGGAAACTGGAAATGACTAGTAATTCCTTTCTGTTCCTCTGAGAATATGGCCTCAACAGGCCTGTGAGCGCCTCCATCCCCTCCTGCCCCATCAAGATGGCTCTGCCCAGAAGAGAGAATGAGGACTCCCGGGGGCTCTTGTTCCAGCACTCTCTCTATTTTCAGGACTTGCTTTCACCTCTGGAAAAAAACTTCAGGAAAAGTGACCCCTCCTTCCCACCCATACTCACTGACCAAAATTTCCATCAAAGCCTAGCTTCTATCCCTCATGCCAGGAATCATACCCAAGTGGAAGCACAGACATCCCTGGCTACCATAAAGCAAGGAAGGGGCCAACCCAGGAAAGGGGTGAAAGGTGATGTCAGCCGTCTGAAGTTTCCCAGGGATGGTGAGAAGGTAGGGGGGAAGGTCTGAGGAAGGCAACCTTCAGCAACAGCCACTGAGAGGGAGGGGTGTGCAGTGGGAGTAGAGCAGCCAGGGGCTGGAGCCCAGGGCTCTTGGCTCGGTGCCCAGTCTCTGATCTGCTGCATTGTTCAGCTATTTCCTTCCTTGGAAGTAGTAAGCGGGTGGAGGGGACCAGGATTGCATGGCTGGGAGTAAATGGAGCAGGGTGGAGCTTCCATTGGGGGAGGGGGCCTCCAGTCTGTTCCCATGACCAGCTGCCCTTCCGGCAGCCAGGGGACTGCGTGGGAAAAGTTCTTGGAAGTGCTGGGGACAGTGTGTGTGTGTGTGTGTGTGTGTGTGTGTGTGTGTGTGTGTGCGCGCACACGTGTGTGCGCAAGCGCACTTTTTCATTTGTGTCTGACTGCCTTGCTTGGATTTAGTCACAAGACAAAGCCCTTTGAGAAATAGTCACCAGTCTATGTTCCCACTGGGCTGTGCCCTGGGAGAGGCACAAGAACCCGCCCCAACGCCTGAGAGAGGGACACTGGAGGCCTCAGACCAACTCCCTGAAGTCTTGACTTCTAGTGAATCTACATTGGCTGACTTCCCCGGATTTATGAGGATGCTTCTGGAATCTTCTGCAAAGCTTCCAGCTTCCTGGCAGAACTCCATTACTAGAGGGATGTTGGAAAGCAGGTGGGAACCAGACATGGGGAGTGGAGTCAATAATTCTCACAGCATCTCCCTAAAAAGCCTAGAATCCTTCATAACCACAGATCTTAGAGCCAGGCAGCATGCCAAGAGATTATATGATGGTCCAGTACTCAGCCTTCAGACAAGAAGCCTTAATACAAAGGTCACAAACTAGCAGCATGCAGGTGAAATGCATCCTGTAAACACATGCCTTGCTTAGCCAGCACAGCACTTAAGAAATTTTTGAACCAATATTGAAAGATTTCACACAAAAATCCCAATTTCTATAGTCTCTTGAAGAAATCAGAAGATATGGCTAAGACTGATGCCCTATTTCCCCAAGACAACATTGACTGGGCTGAGTAATGACTGCTCCCTTAGAAAGAGTGTGGGCTGGCCATGTTCCCACAGTCCCTACAGTCCCCATTGTCCTCAACACTGAGGCTAAGTATCACTTGCTGTGGCTCATCATACTTGTATGATTACTACATAGTTTTCTGGGCCTTTGTCTCTATCAAAAGGGGGAAATAAAAGAAACCAAGAGGGCCACCTGTTTCTAGAGAGAATATTTCTATGCAGCAAGTATATCCATGAGCAAACAAAGATGGGATTGGGTGTCCTTCTGCCACCTTTTCTGCATCATCCCCTCCACTTTCCAGTGACATGATGCTTAATGCCACCCTCTGACAATACTATGTCACATGCTTTGTGCCAAAATTGTCCCCCCACTCCTTCCCTCACCCCCAAATCATAATTCTCCTTTTCTCAGTGAGCAAATTCCAGCTGTAAGCCTACAAAAGTAATGTACTGGAGAAATCCCCAGCACCTGCTTGCTAATGACCCTGTGATAAAGCTGAAACTCCTTACCTTAGGTGTTCTCTCATGCAGCACCCTGCAAGATGTGCATGTGAATACACAGAAGCACACCTGAAGGAGCTAACACCAAACTGAAAACCAAGGTCACCTCTGGGGAGGTGAGGAGGAGACCAGAAATGGAGGTGATGGTCCCAAGCCTATCCCTAAAGCTTTAATATTTTACAAGGAGATTATAATCATGCATAAGATGCCTTAGCCTGCTGTTAGTCTCACCTCAGTTTATCTTTCCTGCTTATCTCCATGAACTGATCGACTCACAGTTTCCTATTCCCCAATTTTTGTGCCCATAGCTTTTCTCTTTTTCATACCCAGAATGTCTTTCTCCTCCTCCTCTACCAAGCCAAATCCAGCCCATCACTCAAGGCAGTAGTCTTTCAAAAATTTACCCCATGAGGGCGCCTGGGTGGCTCAGTTAGTCGTCTGACTTTGGCTCAGGTCATGATCTCACAGTTCATGGATTCAAGCCCCGTGTCAGGCTCTGTGCTGATAGCTCAGAGCCTGGAGCCTGCTTCAGATTCTGTGTCTCCCTCTCTCTCTGCACCCCCCTTCCCTGCTCACACTCTGTCTCTCTCCCTCTCTCAAAAATAAATAAACATTAAACATTTTTTTTAATTTAGCCCATGAACACCCTAAACAAAGTTTTAAATTAGGTACCCCTCAATAAAGCAGGTTTTTAAAAAACTATATATTCTCTTGAAGTTAAAAAAATTTTTTTCCAACTAGGTTTAAATACGTTTGACCCTTGAATACAGAGGGGTTAGGGGTACCAACTTCCATACAGTCAAAAACCCACATACCACTCTGACTCCCTCAAAACTTAACTACCAACAGCCTAGTATTGATCAGAAGCCTTACCAATAACATAGTCTATTAACACATATTTTGTATGTTTTATGTATTATATACTGTGTTCTTACAATAAAATAAGCTAGGGAAAATAAAATGTTATTAAAAAAAACATAAGGAAGTACTGTACTGTAAAAATGTACATATAAATGCACCCTTACAATTTAAACCTACAATGTTCAAGGGTCAACTGCAGTTGCAAAGGGTATGATTTCTGGTGTAATGGAAATATTTACATTTTATGGTATTTTTTTAAAGTTTTTATTTATTTAAGTAATCTCCCCACCCCACGTGGGGGTTGAGTTCATGAGCCTGAGATCCAGAGTCATGCTCTTCCAACTGAGCCAACCGGGTGCCCCGTTATCCACATTTTATTTATTTTTTAACTTCTTTTTTATTTTTTATTTATTTTTATTTATTTTTTTTTAAAGAGATTTTTAAAAAAATTTTTTTTTTAACGTTTATTTATTTTTGAGACAGAGAGAGACAGAGCATGAACAGGGGATGGGCAGAGAGAGAGGGAGACACAGAATGGGAAACAGGCTCCGGGCTCTGAGCTGTCAGCACAGAGCCCGACGCGGGGCTCGAACTCACGGACCGTGAGATCATGACCTGAGCCGAAGTCGGACGCTTAACCGACCGAGCCACCCAGGCGCCCCTTAACTTCTTTTTTAAAGTTTATTTATTTATTTTGATAGAGTATGTGCGCACAAGCGGGGGAGGGGTAGAGAGAGAGGGAGAGAGAACCCCAAGCAGGCTCTGTGATGTCAGCGCAGAACCCAACACAGGGTTCGATCTCACCAACCGTGAGATCAGGACCTGAGTGGAAATCAAGAGTCTGACACTTAACCAACGGAGACACCCCAGCACACCCGCCCCCCAATATTGACATTAAAAAAAACTTATATTAAATGTATTCACTGGAATCACAGTGATTTGATACTCATCATCAACATTTGCAAATTGCATAAGCAAGCTCTTAAAGGAAAATTTACATCATTGCTTTTGTCCTTGAATTTTCTCTCCACTTCTCCCATATAATGCTATCCTAATGTAATACATAGTTTATGCTGGAAAATCTTTTATTTTTTTTAATATTTACTTTTATTTTTGAGAGAGAGAGAGAGAGAGACAGAGTGTGAGCAGGGGAGGTGCAGCAAGAGGGGGAGACACAGAATCTGAAGCAGGCTGCAGGCTCTGAACTGTCAGCACAGAGCCCGATGCGGGGCTCGAACCCACAGACTATGAGATCATGACCTGAGCCGAAGTCAGATGCTTAACCGACTGAGACACCCAGGCGGCCCTTGAAAATCTTTTATTGATCATCAAACAATACTTCTCTGCCATAAATATATATGTTTATATAAAAATTAAAATTGTATTCTTTTCTTATTTTTTGTGGCCATAAGGCTCCAGAGTTTACAATTTTCTTCTGGATTAACTTATCATTACAATTATTATTAGTTTACTGTTTGTCAAACAACATAAATATATTGCAAATGTTGATAGAGCATTATTAAACATGAGTAAAAAAACGTTTTAAAGTAAGTTCTATGCCCAACATGGGGCTCAAACTCATGACCCCAAGATCAAGAGTCCCCTGCTCTACTGACTGAACCAGCCAGGTGCCCCAAATAGTAAAATTTATAAAAAATACAACTCGAAAGAAAGAAAGAAAGAAAGAAAGAAAGAAAGAAAGAAAGAAAGAAAGAAAAGAAAAGAAAAGAAAAAGAAATACAACTCATATTGAAATAGTCATATACATGCTGGAATGAGACAGTGATCAGCATCAATTTTATCTCTACATCCTATTTTTATAGATGATAATGTTGAGAAATCTCGTTCACATAAACATGTACATGGGAATTGAAGAAGTTTGGGCAGGGTCGCTCAATTCCACCTAATCATTCAACAGGTGACAAATGAATTTGTTTTACTTCCTTCAATTGTGGAAGGCAAATATTGGGAAATTTTGATTTGCAGAACAATTTGTTGCCCAGACAAACCGAGTCATTTGCTTTCTCAATATTGAAATCACTATTTTAAATTGTTTCTTTGGGGGCACCTGGGTGGCTCAGATGGTTGAGCGGCCTACTCTTGATTTCAGCTCAGGTCATGAGCTCACAGTTCATGGGTTTGGTTCATGGGGTCTAGTCTGGCGTTGGGCTCTGCATTGACAGTGTGGAGACTGCTTGGGATTCTTTCTCTTCCTCTCTCTCTGCTCCTCTCCTGCTCCGACTCTCTATCACTTTCTCAAAATAAATAAATAAACTAAAAAAAAAATTGTTTCTTTGGAGCCCCAGAGATTTTTACACACCAAGGCAACATACCAAAATGAGAGTTAGGATGGGCCAAAGATAAGTCTTTTGTACAATAGTATAGGTTAAATTGTGCTATAGTAACAAGTAATACCAAAAATCTCAATTGTTTAAACCAACAAAGATTCTTCTCCCCTCTGTACCCCAAACTCACAATACGTATCCATCACAGGTCAGCTGGGGGTTCTGATCCATGCCATCGTCATTCAGGGATCTAGACCTCATCATCTGAAATGTCATTGGTCACCATGGCAGAGAGAAGGTAAGGAGAATCATACGCTGGCTCTTAAATGCTTCCACCCAGAAGACACATTTTTGCTCATGTATCATTGTCCAAAGCAAGTCACATGGCCACACCTGACTTCTAAAAGGTGGGAAAGTACCTATAAGAGAACAGGGAACATGGATGAGCAGCACTGATGGTTAACACACTTGTCTTTTGTAAAATGGGAGCCAAGAAATTGTGGAAATGAAGGGAGGAGACGCGTTCACAGGCACAGCCTAGTCCTTGAAGATGATGTTCTGGAAGTTGATTCCCGTCAACATAACCCTGCCACCTACCCTTCGCTAAGAAAGCCTTTTTGCACCTCTAGGGGTACATGTGCCCAAGTGTGAAGACCACTGCTGCCTTTGTGAAGCCTTCCCTTCAGATCCAGGGACCTCTTTGAGTTCCTGTCATTATTGCCTCTACTATCCATTTGGAAGCTATTAGAGGAGTTAATTACATTTTCATATATGTGTTTCATGTTTTCCTAACAAGTTGTAGTTTCTTTGAGGATGGAAACCATATGTAAGTTTTTACATACCCCATATTATCTAGCAAGAACAGTTAGAACTTGTGAGTTCTGCTTGATGGCTGAATTGGTCACTTTTCTTGGTATGCTTCAATCTCATCTGTGCAGTGGGAATAACAAGGCTTCTTGCCCTTAGGATCACAATCAAGATGACAGAAGTGAAAGCTCTTTCCATCCCACTCTCTTTGACCTAACAGGGATCGGCATCTTGAGACTCCACTTCTGAAAAGCTGTATGTAATGATGAGTCATTAAAGGCTCTTGAAACATCTGTGGAAAGTGGGTTTAGGAAGATGAGCCTGACATTAGTGAATGCTGGGTGGTTGGGGAATCCGACAGGTGGGTGGCGGGGCAGGGACAGGGAGTCCAGGTAGAAAGTTGCACTTCAGAGGTGATGCAGGGAATGGCGAGCCATATTGCATCCTCAGGGAGTGACCCCAGCTGACTTCCTGAAATTCCAAACCTGGATTCAGGGCTGAATCAGGTGGCAATAACAAACCTCATGCTTCTGCCAGTCAAAACCAAGCGTTCTCTGCACCCTGACACTGCCCCCTGGTGACCTCTGGAGTCATTGCCAATACAAGGAAGCCGAATTATCATTAGGGGGATCTGGGATTGATGTGGGTGAGGACAAGATGGCTAAAATTGCGGCTGTAGAAAAGGAAAGGAACTAAGGAGAGAGAGGAGGGGGCCATACACATGGGTTGGGTGTAGGCCGGGGGGAGTTTTTATCCCTGGACTTACTGCACAAAGTGAAAACTAGAAAGAGTCTTTGAGATGCAAACAACAGCACAAGGGCATGGTTTAGCCCATGCAACTGTTTTCAAATTTTTGGGTTAGTTGCCAACGTCCCAAATCAGGTAATTTCACATTAAAATAGGAATGTCCAGTTTCTCTTGAAAAATTAAAAACATCAACCTATATGAGGCCACCATCCTGCTGAGCAGCAGCTAGTTGGGGCTGAGAGCTTTTCTGTCCCTTTCAGCAGGGCAAGAGCTTCCCTGTCACCCAGTCACCCAGGCTGCCTTCCTCAGTTCCGCTGCCCCCTTACCTTGCACGCTGGGAGTTTGTAACTCCTAGGTGGACATTTCATGCTGGAGAGCAGGGTCAAAAGGTATCAGGATGGGACCAACCAGTCATCCAATGCCTCCAGAATTTATCTATTACACATCATCCAGGGGAACCTGAGTAGCTCAGTTGGTTAAGCATCCAACTCTTGGTTTCAGCTCAGGTCAGTGATCTCACAGTTCATGGGTTTGAGCCCCGTATCAGGCTCCGTGCTGGCAGTGTGCAGCCTGCTAGGCATTCTCTCTCTCTCTCCTCTCTTTCTGCCCCTCGGCTGCTCATGTGCACGTGCTCTCTCTCTCTCTCTCAGAAATAAATCTTGAAACAAAAACAACAGCAACACAACAGAAAACAGCATCCAGCATATGCTTAAAGACCTTTGGGGACAAGAAAATCACTGCCTATTAAAGCAGCCCGTTGCACCTTCAGATAACTCAGACCGCTTTCACAGGGTGGGAATGTCTGTTGAGGTTGTATTCTCTTGAGGATACAGGCCCAGAGAGAAGAGACTTGCCTACAATGTTGTCTCAAAAATTAAGCAGACACTTAGCAGGCATGTGTGAGGCACCACCAAGTGCCCGAGACTATGCTGGTGAGTGAAGATGGCATGACCTGTGCCCTAAAGAAACTTCCAGTCTGGGCAGAGGTGGGCCAGGTTTACACAGATGGTATCAATACCTAGCAATGCTGATATAGTGACATCTGGGAATAGTGCATTGAAAGAGATCAGTCCAAATTTGAAATTCCAAGTCTCCCAGACATGAGAAATTAGACATGTAAGCTCTGAAAATATCAACTGTGGTTATACAGCTCTGTGCCACTCCTGGCACATTACTACAGACATCTGGGAGTTGACTCCATGAGCCAGAAGGGCATACAGGCAACTGACTTGATCTTCTTTGAAAAAGTCACGATACCTGAGTTTTATGTCAGTTCTGCATAACTGAGTGAATTTGGGCACATCTCTTTGCCGCTTAGGGCCAAGGCTTCTCCATCTGTGAACACAAAGGGCTGAATCAAATTTCTCAGGGCTTAATATTTACTTTCATATCCCCAGTACCAGCATAGTAACGGGCTATCTAGAATACAAATTCAATAGGTGCTCCCTAAATGTTTTTTTGTCGAATTAGTTAATTATATGTTTGTTTATTTATTTTTAAGAGAGAGAGAAAGAGCAAGCTGGGGAGGACAGAGAGGGAGAGAGAGATCCCAAGCAGGCTCCACGCTTTCAGCGCATAGCTCGATGCAGGGCTCAAACTCACCAACCTTGAGATCATGACCTGAGCCAAAACCAAGAGTCAGACCCTTAGCCAACTGAGGCACCCAGGCACCCCTAACTTAATTTATTTTTTAGGTAAACTGTACTCCCAATGTGGGGCTTGAACTCACGACCCCAAGATCAAGAGTCCCAAGCTCTGCCAACTGAGCCAGCCAGGCGCCCCAATGTTAACAATGCTCTCTAAATGTTTGTGATTGCCTGCTGACTTTGCTTCTGGGTGCATTACCCAGAACAGAGGCACCCAGGACAAATGGGCCCTGGAGTACCGCTCCTCCCCCGCCCCGCCGCCCGCCCCCCCCCCCCCCCAGTTCCTCCTGGGAGATTAAAAGGGAAAAAATCCGTGTGAGTGAGGCTTGTGGACATTTTTCACCACAAGAGGGCGCCAGAGCACCACTCCACCATCCTGGACCCTGGGAAGAGGGAGGCCCCATCAGAAGCCACTTAAGTAGTGCTGTCTTGGGTGAAAAGAAATGTCACCTCAGGCACCACTGGGGGCCGAGAAAAGATTCCTGAGATGTAAACACAAGAGGACATAGGACAAGGAGGCAATGGAGGATGTGGAGGAGGGAGGACAGGGAAAGAGCCAAAGAGAGAGAAAGGGACTCGCTGGAGTCACAGAACATGCCTAGAGATACATAAGGAAATGAGACCTAGGATGAGGTAATACTGGGGTCCCATGTTACCTCAATTTCATAGGGAAAAACCTCTCTCTGAGCATCTCAGAACGTGCACAGTGGTCAACAAATGTCTTCACTTGACTGCACACTAAGAAAAGGGCCAGAAGACAGATTGGGGTAGATCCTGAATGCCTGAATTTGACCATCAGCCCATAGGCTCTAGAGAACCATGAAAGAAAGTCCTTCAAAACTATGAAAGTGATATTTTGGAATGATTCATCTGCGGCTATGGACAAGAGAGATTTAAATATATACGTCCATAGGGGCACCTGGCTGGCTTAGTCACAGAGCATACAACTCTTGATCTCAGGGTCATGAATTCGAGCCCCTTGTTGGGTGTAGAGATTACTTAAATAAAAACTTTGAAAAAATAAATATATACGTCCATGAAGAGTATATGCAAATAAACTTGGGGGAATTTGATCTTTGGGAAAAATCCTAGTGGAGATCATCGCTTTGTGAACGGTTGCTCCCTCCTTATTTCCCTTCCTGGTGCTTCTCTCTTCATCTCTTTCTTGAGACCCAAATCACTTTCCAGGAGGCACACTGTTGGTTCCAGGGAGGAGAACCTGGGCATGGAAAGAGAAACAGGCACAGCTGAGAAGCCTCTACTAGGAGAGGCCAACTTTAGCAGGGGCTGAAATCTAGGGTGCCCTGCTCTGGAAGTTGAGGGGTTGCCCTGGGGTGAGAAATGGGGGCATCTCCCTCCACACCCACATCTTAAACCACCCATGTAGCTGTTCTGAGAAGCCAAGCACAAGACCACAAAACATGTCTCCAGAGCAGGGTCTGGACTCTTAGGGGAGGGGAGGCAGAGAACAGGAGGGCAGCACCCAGGAGGAAAAGGGAAACTGAGCCATTTGGAACCATTGACTTCTAAATCTTTCCCTTCCTGGTTACTACCCCCTTAAGGAGATCTATAGCCCAGACCCCAGGCTGCACCCAGAGAACAGGAGCTTTATTCTCCACCTCAGCGCCAAACACAGGCGACATGGGGAGTATACGTTCAATAAGAGTTGGTGGCAAATATGAATGACTGTGGAGAGAGAATGGATGGTAATAGGGTGTGGTCCTTCCCCTTGGTGACAAGAGCCAAATACAACTTTGGCACCTCTCCAAACTGGAACTTCCTGTCCGTGAACTGGAGGTGGTTGTTCCCCAGACCACTTCCCAGGGCAAGTGCAAAAATCAGAGATTAAGAGTGCTTTGTGGCTCCAGGCTGTAGACTTTAGCTCCTGCCTTCTCTCCTAGCCCCATGATTTTAAGTTACTGAACACCAAAAACTCAAGTATTTCGTCTTGAATGATAAAAACTACTCATTCAGGCAACATTGTGAAGATGCAGTTGCTTACAAATGCTGACAAGATCACCAGATTCCAACATCAGTAGTTGCTGTAGGTACATGTGTAATCCTGCTCTTGCCAAATTAGGAAACACGTCTACCTTCAGAGATTTCTGAGCTCTGATCACCCTTATCCACCCTTACAGCCAGGTTTTTTCCCTCCCACATACTATAATGGTTGGAGCCTTTGGTTTTTGTTTGTTTAGCCTCTTTCTTAACCAGGTAACTAGAGAGCTTTGGGTCACTGCTGGCTCTTCTTCCTGCCCAAGTGGTTCCCAGTTCCCATGAGGCTTTCCCAGAGTCTCCCAGGAGCCCTGGCTTTTGTGGGACCCTGTGGCCCAGAATTGCAGAGAAGCATTTAACTCTGGGCAGGGATGCCAGAAAACCGGGTCTTGAGCCTTTTGCTTTCTGTGGGACCCTCTTAACTTCGGTTTCCATAGCTGCAAAAAAGTAGATAATGCCTTTCTTGCTTATCTCATAGGGCTTTTATGAGGATCACCAGAGATGGTGTATGTGAATATGTTTTGTAAACTGTAAAGCAGTTTATGACTATAGTACTATTAGTATGACTGCTATAATTGTCAGAATTCTCAGATCCTACCAGCTAGCTCTGGAGGCTTGCAGATGTTCTCTGGGATTCCTGGGCCCCTGCCATCTCCTTCCTCCACCACTCCTCCAGGTAGAATGTGGGGCTAAAAACCTGTTGAGAACCCTTGATCCACTGGGAAAATAACCAAGGAGTACATAAATTAGAATCAACTCAAATTTTATTACTTGTTAAGGATGAGAGAAAGATGACCAGGTGTTCTTTTAAAGATAACCATAGCAAACTGTTGAGTACCTACTGTGCTTTAGGCATATTCCTTACTATCATTCCTCTGTTACCCTCATAATACTGTGAGAGAAGG